GGGGGGGGGGGGGGGGGGGGGGGGGGGGGGAGGTTCTCGATGACAGAGCTTGCCTCTACATGTTGATGAATGTTGACGTTGGTTGGTGGTTGAAATGGTTTCGCCTTGTGCGTCGTGGACAATAGCCAGGTGTCCACGCTTGTTTTGTTGGGGATGTGGTTGCTCGATTGTCGACGTGCAAGTTTTGGCTTTCGTTCTGTCTGTTCTGTTACCTCGTCTTGCGGCGGCAAGCGGAAGGTCGAGCAAGCAAGACCGCGGCGCTGTTGATGAACTAGTCGTGGCATTGGGTCTACAAAATCACGTCGTCGAATCTAGTCTACCACACAGCGCTCCCAGAAACTTTTTCCTCGGAGTAAGGCGGCCCTCGTGTGTATTATGTGTAAATTTAGCCAAAACACTCTTTGTATTGTCCGTTTGCATGACGCAAATGTGTCGGTTGCTCAGGCTCGCGCGAATTCGATGCCGCTCCTCGCAACCTCCCGTCACGACGACACTGCTGCAAGACTCCACAACTATCTCGAATCCCGCACGTTAACTGAACTTGCACTTGCACATAGCGTCTTGTGCCACGATCGATGCTAGTCGACAGTGTCGGTTAGATTTGGCGAGCAATCCAAAGCGAAAGACTAACACTTCCCCCATTGGATGTTTGGAAATCGGGAGGTGGTGCACGAAGTGTTTCGACACCTCTTGTGCGAGGAGGGAGGGGTCGACTTCGATTCCCTCGGGCCCAAGGGCTTCTGGTGCCTGTGGAAGTACTTGTCCGTGGTGAACATGGAGGCCAAGGCTCTGTCCGGGTCCACGGCGAGCAAGGTGCGAACACGATCATCTACGGCGCCAAACGCGACTCTACGACATCTACTTCAGAGACGAACGTCTGCGGTGTTCCCTGCCGTTTTTTTTTTTTTTTCTTGTGTCTGGTAGGAGAGGTCACCGCTCGGGGCGGGGTGTGCGGCACTTCGTGTTTATGGTTTGTTGGTGTTGGAGGGACTTCCGTTGCCAATGACGCGGCTACAATAACTGCGGTTGATTGTGCGCGACATCGACCTAGGTCTTGAATAAAGCCTGGTAATAATGGGAGCTTCTTTTCCTGCTGTGTACGAAGCAGATGCAAGTCAGTTGTGTTCCCGTGGGCCCGTGTTGCGCGTGTTATTTTGCCTTCTTGGTCTTTCAGTGTGTCCGAGGCGTAACAATCCCCAGGTACCTTGGTGGTCACCAGCAAGTAAAATCTCCTTGAACGATTACACCTCTCCGAAGGGTCCACCCACTACAACCGCACTATGTCGATACACGTCCCTCCCGGCCATGATGACAGAACCACATCGTGGTGCAAGACTTCTTCAGCATCCAGGGTCTCGACACCCTGTGGGAGGCTTTCGTTCGAAGCCGCCACCCGGCCGTGGTGAAGGACGCCGGCGACTTCCTGACGCAGCTGCACTTGCGCCTCAGGGTCCCCTCGGATAGGGTTAGCGACGTGTGGTACAGGCGAGGACCTCCCCGCCTTTTTTTTTTTTCTGTGCTCGTTTTCGCTCTTGGCGGTAATTTGCTTCAAAGACGTAGTGCACACTTGGGGCGATGGGGACAGCAAGGAATGAACGGGAAAAGCCTCCCGCGTTTGTCTTCGAACTGCTGTCTACCCTCGATCAGCGTGGATGGAGTGCCAATGCCCCCCCCCCCCCCCCCCCCCCCCCCCCCCCCCCCCCCCCCCCCCCCCCCCCCCCCCCCCCCCCCC